TCAGACCCATCAGCCAATGTCCATCTCCATCCATTTCCATCCATCCATCCATCCATCCACCCATCCATCATCATCATCAATCACCAACCACCAATCATCAATCAACACCCATCAGCGGATGTCCATTATCATCCATCTCCATCCATCCATCCATCATCATCATCGATCATCGATCATGATCATCATTCATTCATGATGATCAATCACGATCACCGATCACCGATCATCATCAATCATCAATCACCAATCATCAATCATCAATCATCAATCATCAATCAACACCCATCAGCGAAATGTCCATTATCATACATCTCCATCCATCTGCATCCATCCATCATCATGAAATCATCAATCATGCTCATGATCATCAATGATCAATGATCAATGATCAATCATCAATCAACACCCATCAGCGAATATCCATTGTCATCCATCTCCATCCATCTCCATCCATCTCCATCCATCCATCATCATCAATCATCAATCACGATCATGAGTCATAATCAATTATCATCAATTCAATCATCGATCATCAATCAGTAATCAGTAATCATCAATCATCAGTCATCAATCATCAAGGAAGAGGATGGATGAAAAGTACGAGAGCGAGGATAAGTACGAGAGCAATCATCAATCATCGTGATCAATTAGGATCATGTGGCCATTATCATCACTAGCAATCTTCATCCAAGTTCATTCATTAATCATCAATCATTATCATCACCAATCACATTCTGCATGTACTTTGTCATACATTCATTCATCATCCATCATCCATCATCATCATCATCATCCATCATCCATCTTCCATCATCATCATCATCAACCCATGAAATTCCTCGTTTGCTTTCCAGCATCTTTGTCTCTCATCATCATCATCACATCATCATCATCATGACGTCACATCATCATCATCATCATCATCATCATCTTCGCAGAACGGGGTCATCAATCATCATCCTTATCCACAGTCATTTTCAACTACCATCCATTCTCACCTCCTCTTCTCCTCTCTCTCTCTCTCTCTCTCTCTCTCTCGCCCCCTCTGATCTATCCTTATCCCTTCCCCACCGACGTGTGTTGATCAGGTGCGCACGTGGAACTCCTCTGGAAAGTTCACTGGTACCGAGAGGCGGATCTGAGGAGGAGGCCCTGGAACGAGTGCCAGGCACCGACCTGGCTGAAATTCCCTGCAACTCATGAAATTTCCACATTTCGTCTGATAACCTGTACATGTGAATATCTATCGCTGATGTTTGTAGCATATACTAGAAGCAGTTTATAGCCACTCATTTCACCCTTTTTCTTCTTCTTCTTCTTCTTCTTCTTCTTCTTCTTCTTCTCCCTCTTTTTCCTCTTCTTCCTCTTCTTCCTCTTCTTCCTCTTCTTCCTCTTTTTCTTCTTGTTGAACATTTGCAGTTGCTTCTTTTTTCTTTTTTGTGCGTTTCTACTGAGAACAGTACATGCGGAGAAGATATGAATTTCTATTTTTGCACGTACGAGAAGCAGTCTATGGCCACTGTTTTTTCACTACTGTTTCTTCTTCTCTGTGAACATCTGCTTCTTCTTCTTCTTCTTCTTCTTCTTCTTCTTCTTCTTCTTCTTCTTCTTCTTTGTGAACATCTGCTTCTTTCTTCTTCTTCTTCTTCTTCTTCTTCTTTGTGAACATCTGCTTCTTTCTTCTTCTTCTTCTTCTTCTTCTTTGTGAATATCTGCTTCTTTCTGCTTCTTCTTCTTTGTGAACATCTGCTTCTTTCTGCTTCTTCTTCTTTGTGAACAGCTGCTTCTTTCTTCTTCTTCTTCTTCTTCTTCTTCTTCTTCTTCTTCAAAATTAGTCGCTACCGAAATTAGGCCGTATAGCAGCGGAACACGGCCAAAATTATTAGGCAATGCAGGGACTTTGAAGATTTTTGTTACTGGGTAATTCCTTGCCTGTATTGTAATTTGAAATCACACTTACGATTATTCAACTTGTCATGTATGCAAACAGCGAAACAGCAAATTGGCGACAGGCGCCCACTCAGTACTCAAGATATCGTATCCACACAAGAGTTCTCTTCAAACTGGCTATGGCGACTGAGCGCCCACACAACTCACTGTTCGCACTCTGGATCACCCTGGATGTCCCACACGCAACACTCAGTATCACACTTCATACACACACATGCTAGGCTACAGCTACGGCAGCGCTAGCTGCCACTACCTATCGCTGCACTCTACTCCTCTGCCCACTTCGTCTTCGGGCACTCTGCAGACCTCCTCGCACAAGCTGCTAGGCAGCGCTTCCGCATGGCATCCGCAGGAATGAGTGAATGAATGGACGCAGCCTCTTGATTTATACTTCTGTGCTGCATTGGTCTGCCTTGTGTCCCTGGCCCATGGTGCACACAGTTCCCCCCCGTGGTACTTGCTGGACCGGACTGGTACTTTCTAGACTCTCTCCAACATGGGCTTGCTTTAGTCACACCACTTGCCCACTTGCCTGCACCACTTGACCACTTGCCTGCACCACTTGACCACTTGCCTGCACCACTTGACCACTTGCCAACCTTCTAGAAGGACTGCAGCTAGCCTTCTAGTCTATAGGTCTACGGATCGAATCCTGGCTACCTATAGACCTACGACAGACCTACCTACCACTGGCGGTTCTACAGGTCGCAGGTTCAACTCTTCGAGTTGACGCWGGTATTGTACACAGGTAAGTTGGGRAACTAGGGATCGAGCCCTGGGATCTRCCTCAGCTATCACGAATTGGTGAATACCGTTTCAAATTTTCGTACTTCAATTTAAAATAAAGGCTTAGTTATACCGGACTGTACCCACCTATTTCTGGAGCGGGAAATCGTGCAGCATGACAAATTCGAAATTGTAGTGTCATACGCTCCGCGTGTAACTGACTGGACGGGAGGCCACGTATTAATTCCAGCATACGATCCTTGTAGTGCTTGTGTAGACCAATAGGAATGGGGACATTACCCGCCTATTTCTTGAGCGGGAAAATCGTGCAGCATGGCGAAATTCGAATTTGTACAGGTCATACGCCCGCGTGTAACTGACTGGACGGGAGGCCACGTAATGATTCCAGCATGCGATCCATGTAGTGCTTGTGTAGACCAATAGGAACTGGAGACATTACTTGATGACGGATTCGGTCGTTGGAGAGACCAAGAGACACTCCCAAGCTTTGCATAGTACTCTAGACACGTGATACATGCGGCGAAAGCCGGTCTGCAGGAATAGACAGCGTGTTGATGAAAATAACTTACGTGGACTGTCTGTCTATTGCCCGTCCGAGGGGCCGACACGTAACTGATAGTACGACGGTCGACACAACGTTTATGCAGCAGATCGACCATAGCCGTAGTCGCTCGTGGAAGTGCCCGTTTGGGAACGGAGTACTAGCTAGCTGGGCTGACAACTGGTTGAAACAGTATATAGGAGGACAAGGCCGTATCGGTCCTCCATGCTCGGAAGATGGGTGGTGCGTTAGGCGGGCCGCAAGGCAGGGTCATGTGGTTAGCCCCCTGAGGATGATCGGAGCGCAGCCGATCGAAACGCGTCGGGGATTGTGCGCGTGAGCTGAGATGAGTACGCGAGGCTTTGTATTGACGATTTGTCGAAGCGTGTACGAAAGGCAGTTGGCCACGGTTTCCATTATTCCATTCTTCTTCTTCTTCTTCTTCTTCTTCTTCTTCTTCTTGAACATCTGCTTCTGTGTTCGGGTGTGAGTGTGACTGGGTAGACGCAGAGAAGTCCGTGCTGGGTGGGGTTGAAGTATTTCATCCTGGAGCTTAACTCTCTTGAAGTTTCATAGCAGTCAGCTGATTAGCCGTTTGGTTGTTGAGCTTGCAACTCCCATGTGGGAGGTTGCGTGCTCAATTCTTGGAATCGACTCGTGGGCGTTTGATTCAATTCCTTGTCTTCTTGTTGAAGATTTGCTTTCTTCTTGTCGTTGTTGAAGATTCGGTTCTTCAGCGGTTCAGCTCTCCTATTCTGCAATGGTCTGTTCTAAATATCTGTGGTGCCGGTCACTGGAGCTGTATTTGTGGCAACTATCAGTCTCGATACAGGGGTTGAGATCGGAGCATAGACAGAACATGCAATTCTTGCCAGCAGCGGAGTAACCGGCAGCGAGGAGACACATAGACTGGTGCCTGCGTCGGCGGCCTGTGTGGGGGTCGGGTCAGGTGTGAGTGTGACTGGGTACACCGAGATGCAGGAAACCGTGCTGCAGTGGGGTTAAGTACCAATCTTGGGGCTGTAACTTTCACCCCAGTCAGCTTATTAGCCGTTTGGTTGAGCGTGCAACTCCCATGAGGGAGGTCCCGTGTTCGATTCTTGACACCGGATCATGGACCGAAAAAAATGCAATTCTTCTTCTTTGCCCGTTCTGTTACACATTTGCCCCGGCGGACAGCCCCAGTCAGTTACACACGCGTCAACGGGATGCGGTACAGTATATCATACAGAGGGCAAGGCGAGAACGGCCCTCTTGCTCGGGTGGACGGTCAGGTGGATGCGGGAGTGTGGTTTGCCCCTTGATAAGTCCTGGAGCGCAACCAGGCGAAACGCGTCGGGGAATATGGCCATTTTCGAGCTTGTTATGTCTGTGCAGGAACTGGAAGTTTCATATCTTTCCATGCGTAGACGCTGAGCGATTGGCCTCACTTATTCAAATTCAAATTCTTCTTCTTCGTCTTCTTCTTTCTTCTTCTTCTTCTTCTTCTTCTTCTTCTTCTTCTTCTTCTTCTTCTTCTTCTTCTTCTTCTTCTTCTGTTTCTTCTTCTTCTTCTTCTTCTTCTTCTGTTTCTTCTTCTTCTTCTTCTTCTTCTTCTTCTTCTTCTTGTTGAACATGTGGACATGGCTGTCGATCAGGGCGCATGATTTTTTTTTTAGGTTTGAGAAATCAAATCTCTATTGCAGATGGGAACTTGGAATTGCAAATGCTGATCAGTTTGCGTCTATTATTGGGAACTGCATGTGCTCGGTTGTTGTTGCAGTTCACGCAACGATTTCTTCGGCGTCTAAAGGATGGCGATGCCGCGAAGAAGGCGGCGGTGAAGCCGGCGAAGGACGCCAAAGAGGCGGAGACGCAGAGGCCTACCAATGCGGCGGTTCCATCTTCAGGGAGTGATATGCATCATGAAAATGCGTCCGACGGATCGCCGCGTGGCAGAGCAATTTCGCCCCTCACCACCGATGTCGGCCCCCTTCCTTTCACCCTCCCACCGTCAGGGTTTCCTCCGCCCGGTCTGCCGCCGCCGATCCCCTTCCCACCAGGGACACAGCCGGTCCAACCTGGTGTGGGGCTAGGGTTGTCCCAGGAGCAGCGAAGGGGCGAGCAAAAGGATAAGGAGATGGCGGCGTACCGCCGTGCGCTCATGGATAGTGTGAGTGATGACCATTCTCTGACTATTGTTTTGACCCTTTTTTTTACTATTGTTTTGACCCGTCTTTTTACTATTGTTTTTACCCGTTTTTAAACTTTTTTTACTATTGTTTTGAGAACTTTTCTGGCTATTTTTGGGTAGTTTATTTGATAACAAAATGAGACACTTCTTATGCTTCTTTGGCTTTCTGGTTTGGGGTGATGCCCATCCCTGACTATTGTTTTGACCCGTTTGTGACTATTGATTGGAGGACCGCGACTATTGTTTGGAGGACCCGTTTCCGACTATTGTTTGGAGGACCCGTTTCTGGCTATTGTTTGGGCCGTTTTTTTAGGAGTCCTACGGTTTTTTCGAGTCTTTTGACCCGTTTCAGACTTTTCGAGTTTTTTTAATTTTTATTATTTTTTATTATTAGGGCGACGACCTTGAGATATCATCATTGAAGTGACCGGCCCTAGATATTGCAGTATTTTTTACTCATCTGCTTCTGTATTTTAACAGTTCAGTTCAGGTGTGTACCAACTGAGCTAGGCCAGTTGGTTGCATGCTTTTTTTTTTTTTTTTTTTTTTCTCAATAACAGTCAGTGATTGTTGGGTTGTCCTTCGGGACATCCGTTAAAATTGGAACGATACAGAGAAGATTAGCATGGCCCCTGCGCAAGGATGACACACATTAATCGAGAAATGGTTCAAAAAAAGAAAAAGAAAAAAAGAAAAAAGAAAGTGATAGTTGGGAAAAAAAAGACAACAGACGCGAAGCGTCTGCTCTGGCGAGCGGAGTGAGTGACCCTTTTCTTCCTTGTTTTTCTGGTGTGGGTGATGTCCATGGCCATCCCTGATTGTTGTATGACCCGTTGCTGACGATTTGGGGGTATTTTTTTGGGGGGGGGGTAGCAAAAAGAGACCCTTTTTCTTCTTGGTTTTTGTGGTTTTGGGTGATAGCCATCCCTGACTAATTGTTGTGACCCGTTTCTGACTATTGGTTTGTCCTGTTTATGGCTATTGGTTTGACTTTGACCCGTTTCTGACTATTGGTTTGACCTGTTCGTGACTACCTTCTTCAGTAGAATAGAACGCCCTGTCATTATCGCTGTACCTGGACTGAACGTTGCCCTGAATACAGCTATAAAGAAAGACCGGCGTTCTAACTGGGTGAAAATGGTAGTATTTTTTCAATGAGAAATAGAGCCTTCTTCTCTGATTAATATTTTGTGGCTCGTTTCTGACTATTGTTTTGGCCCGTTTCAGGCTATTTTGGGGTATTTTTCCGATAAGAAAAATCGCCGTCTTTCTTTGTCTATCTAATGTGGGTGTTGGCCATCTCTGACTATTCTAGAACACGTTTCTGACTATTTTTTTTTTCCGTCTGTTTCTGACTATTGTTTTTTTTTGTCTGTTTCTGACTATTGTTTTTTTTCGTCTGTTTCTGACTATTGTTTTTTTTCGTCTGTTTCTGACTATTGTTTTTTTTCGTCTGTTTCTGACTGTTGTTTTCGCCTGTTTGTGACTATTTTGGGTTATTCTTTCGATTGAAAAAAAGAGACCCCTCATCCTCCGGGCATCTGTTGAAATTGGAACAATATAGAGAAGATTAGCATGGCCCCCCAAAAAAAAAAGAAAAAAAGAGACCTCCGTTCTGTGTCTTCCTGGTCTGGGTGCAGCAGACTGTGTGTGGCTGCCGTTGGATTTTGTGGAGTACTGGATGGGAGGGGTGTTATAGACAGCACCGGGAGGAGGGGGTTGGGAGGGGGGCGAGGGGCGGGCCTGCGCCAGGAGGGGAGATGGGGCACGGAGGGGGTTAATGACAGGCTTGA